TATTGGCCTTCTGCATATATCATTTTTGTGCAGAAAAACTGTGTTTGTACAAGGGCTGTTTTTTCCAACTTCCGATGGTCCACAAGTGTACATAACAAAATGAATTTATTACCAAAAGTTAGGTACAAACATGGTTACTTTTCAACATAGTCATTGTGAAGATTGAGGCATTTGTCATATCTGTGGATGAGATTTTCCATCCCCTTGTCATAGAATGTTGCCTCCATGAATTGAGATGGCCTTAACAAAGTTGTTTTGAAGATCATCATTAGTCTCAAAACTCTGCCATGCTAGCCACATTTTCAGTTCAGGAAAAAGGTGGAAGTCTTCACATATTAAAAAGTTCCAAGCTGAGTGGAAGTCTTTACCACCTTTAAACACCCAATGTATACTCCCGATTTAGTGCCGAGCAACTTCCACCTGTTTCCTGAACAGGAAAAGTGGCTTGGAGGGCAGAAGTTTGAGACTAATGACGATCTTCAAAACAACGTTAGGGCCCATCTCAAGTCATTGGTGGCGCCATTTTCTGACAAGGGGATGGAAAAGTTCGTCCACAGATATGACAAATTCCTCAATCTTCACAGTGATTATGTCGAAAAGTAACCATGTTTGTACCTAACTTTTAGTAATAAATTAATTTTGTTATTTACACTTTTTTTTTATTTACCATCGGAGATTGAAAAAAAACAGCCTACATATATTTTGGCACTTAGATCATTTAGCTTTTCCACTCTTCATTTTTATTTATTAATATAATATAGTGGCTATAAACATAAAAATCAAATAGAAAATGTAAATTATAATATATGTAACAAATTTTATGGTCATGTAAGTTTTATTTTTAAATTGGTCATAAATGTATAATTTAAAAATGTAATTATAATAATCATATGTCTGTGACCAGGACTATCAAGACGGGGAAACTGGAAATTTTTCTACAAGCCCAAAGTACTTTCTATAGGCTTGTAGCAAAAAATGCATCATCATCATAAATCTTGTTTTATAAATCATTATGTAATATGACTGTCTTTGTAAATATGAATGTGGCTATGAAATAACACAATTTATTGCAAATAAATACTTCTTTAATTTTCTAGTTATCATATTTTATGGCATGTAAAATGTACAGTACCTTCATTTCAGTGTAGAATATTTAGGAACAAATTATATGGTATATTTAAACCATGCCATACCTTTGACCCTCAGCCCAAAAATCTTTATACTATATTCTGGTTAAAAAGTAAAATTTATCAAACAAAGATGTTTAGAAGAATTCATTTAAAATTAAAATTTATCATCAAAATATTCAACATATATATGCAAAAGCTGCTTAGCTATAGCAAAATATAATAATAATAATTTTTTCAAGATTTGGATTAGATAGTCTACAAAAGCTGTTTGGAAAATTCATTAGCCTACAGGAGATGCAACAAAAATGGTAAGACACAGGGCAAGTTTCTTTGGTTGGACAAAAGATCAATCTTACATGCCATAAAAGATGGTACAGTGACATTCCATTAACCCAGCATACCAGATGCCATGTTAATAGAATTTCACTGTACTTAGTTAAAAACTAATAAAAAAAATCTCACTTGCTTTGTTTTTATCCTAAGATTTGCTATTGTTTATCAAAAATATGAAATTATAGAGTGGAATTAATTTCTAACTATAATTACTTTTTTTGTCTTGAATTCAAATGCAAATTTTGCTTAATACTTGTATTTTGATATCTAATATAGTAGAATATGCTTATTGTAATCAATTGGGGACATGTCTATATGGATAAAAATAACTAAATTATAATATTAAGAATCATAAGTAAATACTCAATTGGAGGAAATTTTGGTTTAATTCTGGACTCTGGCATTAAAAGGACACATTAAAACAATTTTAAAATGTATAATCTTTAAATATATTAATTAATAGTAATTTACTGTGCTGCAATTTGAAAAAATTGTAGACCTATAAATTTCCACTGTCATGTCTGCCTGTCCTTTCTTAATTTTGATAATGGAGTTACACAGATGAAATACAAAATCAGATGTGGAAACCTTAGGGGCATGAGGCCACAATTAACTATATACAATGAAAACTGGAAGTCATGTCATTTCAATTCAAAACTTTTCCCCTGAAAGCAGTTAATAGATGACCAGCACTACTCTATTGTTAAAGGTAAAGTATGATGTTCCAGGGCAAGTACTAATTTGAGGTGATAGAGCATATATTTTAAATTAAATTAATTAAAAATATGGTAAAAAATTGCAGCTTGGCATTATGATGATGTCACAATAAATAAATGCTCATCTAGTATTGGTTTCCTTCTGATTTTTTTTAGTACCATCTTTAACAACTGAAACATAATTGAAGTAAATAATAGTTTAACTGCCAACAGTTAAAGTATCATACTGCAAGCAATTAAAATTTAAACCACCAGTTAAGCCTTAGTCTCAATATATAACTACATGTTGAGGGTGTTAGACATTAAGTTGTTTTTTCATGCTGTTTACCTGAGGATAATGATAGTGATTAAAATTTTGATTGTAATATACAAAGTTTTTATAAGAATATTACAGAGTTAGAATTGGATAATATAAATACAAAACTACATATGATTTCAAGGTTGTTTCAGCAATGAAAGTAATGAGAGTTGACAAAGATCAACTCCACAGACCTTCATCAGGAATAGATGAGATCCAAGATGGAATGTTCAGATTCTATAAGGGAATGTTTGAAGAATAACTGCAAATTTGAACTGTAAATGTGCACTTGTTAAATAGTAAGTTTAAAATGAAATGTTCAGAGAATGCTGAAAATCGAATGTGCATTTGTCAAACTGGAATTTAGAATTGAAACCATCACCAGAAATTATGGACGATGATTAGATGACCTCATGTTTAAAGAAAAGGATCATAGCAAACATTCTTTTACATTAGCAACATAGCAAATGGACATAGATGATACTTTGAAAATTAATGTTTTGTTTTTCCTTTTTCAATATTTTCATCTTCATATTATAAAAGAATCTTTGATGGTTCCTTATGTAATCTTTGAGTAATTGTAAATTATTTGTTTTACATATTCTTGAGAAATTTGTTGATTCTTTATTTAATTAAAAAGTAATTCTATTTGTAATGTATTCAGTAATGATTTATAAAAACATAAATTTGAAATTACATTTCTTACATTAACATATTTAGTAAAAATTTTATATAAATGTATAATCCTATGCTTTATAGTTAATTTAATATACAAATATTACATTAAAAGTTTGAAGTATATTTGAGTATGTTTTCCAGATTTATCTGTTAAACATAAAATTAATTAGTTCAAGAATGTTTTAAATTCTTAATTAATGCTAAGTAAACAAATACTTAGCATAAACTGACTGCTATTTGTATGTTAATAATAATTTGTCATTATTCAGACTGTTCATCGTTTTTGTAATGAACAAATTTAAAAATTCAAATTTAGAACAAACTTTTACTTACATCAACCCAACATACCTTCAATAAAATACATATTTTTATAGATATTAAATTTGATAATAGGATATGCTGAGATGATTGTGAGTGTCTCAAGCTAAATGCTTAGAAATTTTCATGTTTTCTAGCCTGGATATATTAAATAATTTTTTACGAGCATGAATGAAGACTTGCATAGTATCCATAGGATTGGGAGGGCAAAAAATGAAAACAAAATAAAATAAAACTTTTATCAAGATATGAATATATTATATATGTTTTATTATTTTTTAAAAGATAATTGTTGATTATGAATTATATTTTTTTTTATCTGGAAAAAATGTTATTTATTATGGATTTAGTTTCTTGGTAAACTTCTTTTGTTTTTTCAACTTTTGTAATGCATTAGATAGTAATTCCTTCATTTATGTGAGTAATTAGTTCCATGAAACCATGTAAATTGAGGAATTACTTTATTTAATATACCCTTTGATAATGCCATTATTTATTTATCTATTGCATATCTGCAGTATATAATTCACAGTCTCCACAAACTTTTTACTATGCATATTTAATAAATTTATGCATTCTAATGTCATTTGGTATCTAGTTGATTATTTAAAATTTAAAAGTTTTTTGACTGTGTTGAAGTGAATTCATGTAAACAGAGGGATTAATCTATAGTAATCTATGAACATGTTTTGTTATCAAAATATGTTTATGGTTTTTTAAAGTGACAAAGAATTGGTGATAAAACTTTATATGCTTACATACTAGACCACATACTTTATATGCTCTATATGATCACATATTTTGCCAAATATAGTATAAGGAAGAATGTTGAAAATACTTGCAAGTATTTAATTCATCAAACAAATAATTGTAGTGCCTAAAGACAGTACAACTTCTTCCTTAGAATTCGGTCATATTCATTTCTTATATTTTTTGTTATTTTAAATATTTCTCCTAAAAACTGTTTGTGTAATATTGAATTATATGGTTACTTTTTGAACATACAGTTAATTTCATTCATTCAATGAATTGAAATTAACTGTAAATATAAATTAATATAAGACACAAAGAACAGCATTACAATCTCTTTATATGTTAAGAGTACTTTTGCCTACTTTAAGCTTCTTCAGTTATAAGATCTGAACAATCTACACAGTTCAAACTTAACAGGAAAAAGCTCAAGTAGAAAGAAAAATTTCTAGAATGTCTTTTTGAAGTTTGTTCCATTACTATATAGATCATTCTATTCAAATATCTTTTAACTGAAGAAGCTTAAAATGAAGTAGGCAAAAGTACTCAATATATAAAAAGATCATAACATTATTCATTGTGTCATATATTAACTTATATGTATGTTCATTTGTAACGTCAGGATCTCATATCTTGAAATTAGCTGTTTTCTTGAACAACAGTAGTTTAATATCATGATTTTTTAAATAAATTTTAATTATGTATTCAAAATAAAAGTATCAAATACTATAATTTAAGCATGAAGTCTGAATAAGATTTTTTATTTTATATTATCAGCTCATGATATTAAAGCATACAAAACTGGACCACCACCTATTAAAGATGGTATTGATTACATTAACATTCAAGAAGAAGATCAAATGGTAAAGTATTTAATTTAATCAATTTAATTATTTTTCAAATGAAAACTTCTGGTTTGTATGAGCAAAGTAGTTTTATGATGTATTAATCTAATTTGAAATTAAAATAAATGTTAATTTTTTGCAGGAAATTTTTGGATACAAACCCCACAAGTTATTTACCATTTTGACATGGTTGGGTATCATTGGAACATGTGGTTTACTTCGTTTAGTATTTCATTGGCAGCCAGCATGGATGCTTTATTTTACACACATTCGCTGTCCTTTACATTGTGCCAAGAAAGTTCTTTTGGTGGTAATGATAAATTTTTTATTCTCCTGAAATTGATCTATATATAATTTTATTTTGTAAATTGTTGTAATATCATAAACTTAATCATATATTACAATTATTTTATCATGTTATGAGGTAACAGAACATGATGTACAGTAATCAGCATAACAAGAATTATGTTTTTTCTTATAATTTTTTATTCAAATATTATTTTTATCTGTAATATTTATAAAATGTTTTGAATGATACATTATATTTAATCATCAGATTAAACTTAAATATGACAAATTCTACTACACAGTATAATTATTTAAAATAATTGCTTTTCAGGATCAGTATCATCAAATATTTGTAGAAGCAATAAAACAGATTGTACCAAGTGATATAAAGTGAGTAATCTGATATTTATAATATTTTAATGATATCTTGAAATAAATTTGTAATAATTTTGAATTTAGCAAACTTTGTCAGTTTGTCAAACTTTGCAATTTACTTACTTAAGGCTTGCCAATTAAACATTTCTGCTCATTGGCAAGCCCTAAGTAACTAAAGAAATATCTCATTGGTTAGCATTTCAGGCAGAAATGCTAACCAATGAGACATTTCTGGTTACATTTACTGAACAAGCCCTAGATAATAGACCTGTTTCTGCTTTTACAATGTTGTTTATATATTTGAAATATCAATTGTAATTTTTAAATTGCAAAACCCTTGGCACAATATTGTAAAATTAGAAACCACAACACATAAAAATCATAAAATGCAAAAAAACTTTTATTTACTTGTGTTTTGGCCTTATTTTATCAATCTTATTTAGGTGGAATACATATTCACATAAAAGTTAAGAAGAAATATAAAAATATTTCAAATATAACATTCTGGAATAAATTTCAAATGTAGAAAGCTGGATGTTTAAAAAATAAAAATGTAAACTACATAAATCAAAAATGCAAAATAAATTATAACAAAAAAGAAATAATATACAAGAAATAACAAAAATGGAAAAGTAAATAAATAAATGTATATAGTAACAAATAAAAGTATAAAAAAAGAAAAAATAATAGTGATGAATATAAGATCATTGCTTCTACAGAAATGGTCAGTCACTTTAGATTACACAGAGTTTAATTCACAGAGAGCTTTTCATGATACTGATAGGGTATTAATATCCTCATAGTTAATATTCTTTATTAACAATACAGAATGCATGAAAGCACCCAATGCTTATTTTGAGAAGATACACTCCATGATTCTATGCCTAGCCAATATCTCCCTAGAAAAATACTCTCCCTCTGTAAAGCTACAGTACTTGCACCATCCATGTATCTTTGCATATGCAAAAATCCATAAACCTGGAAACCATCAGTGCTCCATCGTGGACAAAACTATATCTCCCTCCATTCATATTGAAAAAGCACATAATATGTTTATAACAATCAGACCCATCAGATATAGCCAAACAGTAACCAACACACAAGAGATGCTGAACAAATTGAAAAATCTTAACTTCTCAGATGATGTTTTCCTAACAGTCTGTGATTTTGAGTCTATATTCTCATTTATCTGCACAGAACCATGCTTTTTCAAACTATGAGATTTCCTAATATCCGACATCAAGAATTCTGCTAAATATATGTCCACCATTCTATAGTTGTCACAACTAATATGCTACTCTTCCTTCTTTACTACCTACCTTCAAACACAAGGCCTATAGGTAGCCTATTTATCAGGAACATTATGTGAGCTGATGATCCAATGATTGGAATGTTCAATCTTACTTTCTTACAACAACCAGATTTTATTATATGCTTTACACCATATTATGGATGCCATCTTGATAGCTTGGAGTTAAAAACCAAACATGAAGGATTTACTACTAAAGTATAGCAACAATCCATTTGACCTATTCTTGACAACAGAGCAAGAGAGCCCCACTGATGTACATTTCCTAGATACCCATATCTCAACTCATCAAGAGTAAATGATAACTAAGGTCTTCTGAAAGGACACATATAGCCTGATCTATATTCTGGCCATATCCCACAATACATTTACCTATACAGTAGTTCTGTTTAGAGCTCTAATCCAATGAGCCTATACACATTGTTCTACCCAACAGATACAAAAAGAAAGAATTAGCATATATCAAGAAGTTAACTAAATAGCACAGTTATCCTGCACATCCTACATCAACACCAAGTGGGTTGATTACTACCTGAAAATGGATCTTATGTAGCAGTTCCTATCCTATCTACAGTATCCTAACAACAGTATCCTATGTTCTGTCTATAGAGAGAATACCAAAAGCAACAGCTTCAAACTTGCATTAAGAAGAACACTATGATTTTCTCACTTCTCAGAAATAATAAGGACCCCATACTGAGAAAAACACCTCTCAGTGTGGGGTACACAAAATGGGGGGTCGGAAATGAAAATAGTTACGCACCACTGTTCTAGATTAAGATGTGAAAGTAAACCTAGACAAAGCAAATCTCCAACACCAAACCTACAGAAATTGAACATCTAGAAAGGATTGAGATCTACAGAGTCTTTAGAGGGAGAACAACAATTAACTTCAAAGAAACCGATCCAGTTTCTATGGCATGGAGAATGCTGTTTGAGATAAATTGACTGTTGGTCCATATCAGGCATGCTCAGTTTGCTGAACGTTCTTAAAGATGTTTTGCTCATATTCTAAAGATGTTCTAATACAGTAGAGCTTCGATTATCTGAATCAGTTGGGGACTGGAGTTGTTTGGAAAATTGATTTTTCAGATAACCGATTATGTACAAAAAAATACATTATTAATATGGTATATTAGTATATCCCAATAATAGTATATTAATATATCCCATGTTTAAATTTTTCTCCGTTGCGTGTCACTTTGTGTTAATTTTCATCAATGTTAAGCCTAATGAAAATTTTTAAAATAATAATCGTGGCTATTATATTGTTAAAAATTATTTCTTTATTTTGTACAAGCAAAATAAATATATTGAAAAATATAAAAACAAAAAAATATATACTTTAGAAGTTAATCTAGTATCAAAAACATTAGATTCAGCATGACACAATCTGACTGGAACGGCTTTTGGTTAACTGACATTTCGGTTGATCAGTATTCGAATAATTGATGCTCTACTGTAGTTCTAAATGTTTAATTTAGCTTTATTGTTCTATTCTATTGAATTAAACCTGATGATGTCATTATATATGGATGAAAACATTATTTTACAGTAAAATTTCTACATTTTGCTTGATTTTGGTGTTGGTGTTGTTATTTTTCAACAGTTTAAATTTAAATTAACACAAAAATATAAATATTAAAGTTAAAAATAATTCATACCCAAATAACCTTGCGCAGCAACAAAATGTTGATTTAATTATGTAATTGATCGAGTTATAACCAAAAACATTGTGCAGTTGATTGAGTGATTAAAAATAAAAATACTGTAAATAACACTTTAATATTTATTTATAAATTAATCTGAATAAAATTTAATGCAAAACAAAGGAATAAAATTAACAAAAATTTTATTCCTTTGTTTTGCATTAAATTTTAGCCCAGATTTTATCTAATTCAAATGCATTTTTAACATTAATTACATTAACATATTTAGATAACATATGAATAAATATCACATATTTAGATAACATATGAATAAATATCTGCTGTAATTATCTAATGTGATAGCCTTCTCTAATTTCAGTAATAATAATAAGAGTGTACTTTACTTTCTCATTTTAAAATGAGGTGTTAAAGTACACTCCTATTATTTTATTTTATATTTAGAGTTATACAATTTTGCAAATACTTCATTAGCACAATTTACTTTACAATTGTCTACATAATGGATACAACTTTACCATCCAGAATTTTTTACAACTTATAGATAAATTAAAAGAAACTAAACTACAAAGAAGAAAATACATTACACTTCTTGACTTCATCTCAATGTCTCTATCAGTCAAACTGGAACCATGTTTTTGTGAGTTAAGAGATGCTTTATTCAAGATTATACCATCAACATATACTAGAACTAGTCTACCTCCTATGCTACATGTCATTTTTTAAATTCAATGGCAATTCCTTCCTATAAAAAAAGAGGTGTGCTGATACACAGCCCACTATGAGGGGACTTATGTGAACTTGTAGTAAGATGTCTTGAGGCTAAAATCATGCATGAGCTTCTTTCTAATATTCTACTGTATACATGTTATAGATGATATCTTAATCATATGGAACTCACAACTAGAAAGCCATTACATTCTAATAATGTTTAACGACAATTCATAAGGACTCACAATAAAATTAGATCAACAAAGCAACAAAGAAACTCACTTCTTAGACGTACAGATACTCCTGCAGGATAATGAGATGTGTACTTTGAAATTCTTCAAACCTTCGTACATTCCCATTTTTATTCATGCCACATCATGTGATCTACCTCAATACAAGATGGCAGCATTTAGATCACTAGTGAAGGGCGCTTTTATGCATTGTTCAAACATAACTGACACCAGCAAAGAGCTGAAGTACATTACAGATGTAGCTAGAAGACATTGCTTTAGCAAAAAGCAATTATGCCTCTAGTGCCTGGTTTGGCTAAAAACTCATTGTTGAAAGCCTGATGCTGGCTACTGAAAGAGGCAGAAAATATTTGCTTATTATAATGAATTGCTGGAAATGTGCTAAAGGTCAGTGCAATATTTGTTTAAAGAAGTTCCAGCTGTAGAGAATATATATTTTATGTTTCAATATAAAATACTTGTGGATAGAAAAAAACTGCATTTTTGATATTTATTTAAATATAATTTGATTCAAAAAATGAAGAAAAATAAACATATCAAATTTCAACTCACTATAAATTATCTCAAGTTTCACCAATTGGCATGGATTTGTTTGTAATTAGAGATTTATAGATTGTCTTTCAAGGTCAGGGTAGTAAGATGTTATTACTTATGCAGGAGGATGCCAGGAGAAAAGCAACTTACAACCACTTCTAATGTAAACAAATTGCAAAGTGTTTTATTACTTCACTAAAAAAAACTCTCCCCTCTCAATTAGAGGCCAGTCAAATTACAATATAATTATTTTATTGTACTTGAAAAAACATCAAAGTTTGTGGTTGATTGTCTAAACAGGACTGTTTTGTATATGAAAAATGAAGGTATTGTAGAAATAATAAGTGGACCATAAAAAATTTGGCAAGTTACAAAATGATGTCAAATTCATGAATTTAAAGCTTTATAAATTAAAATCAAATAATAATATTACCAAATAAAGGCATTAGTCATGATAATTGAATAAAACAGTTACGAAATAAACAAAGATTTTAATAGTTGCAAATTTGGGAATATTAAAATTCTTTTTCATGCTTTACTGATGACAAAGTGATGCAATAATGCATTCAAGAAAAATCACATTGTCAAAAATAAATGCAATGATCAATTTGAAATGAATTTAAATTGGTCCAGAGATGAAGGAAAAGCAAAGAATATAAAGAATAGTATTTTTGTAAAGTTATATTTATTTTAATTGTTATTGTGTCAAATTGCAATCATTACATACAACAGTCTCAATAAGTGCAATTAAGTTAAACATAGGGTTTGCATTTATGTTTGTTTTGATTGGAGAGAGAGAGAGAGTTTATAATTTACAATACTTTTGAATCCTAGCAAATATTTCCCGTATTGGAAAGCCCAGACGAACAGTTCCTGATTTCAAATTTAGATAATATTTCGCACACTGGATAGCACCCAAAGAGAAATTCAGATTAAGCCTAAAAACATAAATCCGAATAAGTAGGGAGACACACAAACACTGATCCTAATGGCTTAGGAATAGATGAAAACAGCCTATAATCAGTTGTCGTTTATTGTATCAAAGGCAAAATTCTTTGAGGATTACTAATAGTTGAGGAAGAGGTGTCAAAATTTTTTTGTATTTCTACAAAGAAATATTATATTTTTAATTGTGCTGGGATTGTCACCTATGGATATTTTAAACTGTTTTACATATTTGTGCAGAGGCATAGCCTCTAAAGAAAGGTTGTTTCTGCAATGGAAATAGTTGTTCCTGGTGATTGGACATGGCAAGCAAAATTGGACTCTGAGAAAGTATCACTTGACACTCTCTCAGGTCGAAAAGTTGACATAACTCAGCTTCAATGAGATCATATCATCAGCTTTTTTCCTTTGTTTTGATTCTCATGTATTCATTTATATTTAAACTAATTAATATAAATTTTATTTTTAATGTAGTATAGCTGCAATGTTGTCTCTTGTGCATGATGTAACCAATACAGATTCTAATAGCCTTACTACTATAAATGGTGAAAAAATTCCTCCTGTTCATCTTGTTCAACCTGGATCAGAAGTATGAGCTTCATTAATTATTTTATTGTTTTTAAAAAATATATTATGCATTTTTTTCTCAGTTTTATTTTTAATTTGAAATAATAATAAATAATTTTCAGGGTCAGTTTGAAATAACTGATTCACTTTTATACTTTGATAATAAAAAAGTTCGATACATATGGGATTCAACTTTGAAAATTTTCGTCAAACTTAGAGGTTTAGATAGAAATGTACCATGCTCATTTTTTCATCACCAGACTGGACTTTCTTCTACTGAACAAGTTTATAGGTACTTTGATTATTATTAAAATATTTTAAATTAAATTATATTAATTTCATTCACGTATTTTTTTCTGTACTTTTGCAGAAGAATTTTATACAGTGATAATAATATTGTTGTTCATGTTCAATCTATTATCCATATTTTATTTCAAGAGGTGAGTATAGTATTCTATAGATTAATTTAATTAATTTGTATATTATATTTTTTTAAAAAATTATAAAATTAATAATGTTTTATTTGTAGGTTTTAGAACCATTTTATATTTTCCAAGTATTCAGTATGATAATCTGGTACTTAGATGACTATGTCTACTATGCTTCTTGTATCATTATCATGTCAGTTCTTTCTTTAACTACAGGAGTAATGCAAATTCGAAAAGTATGTATGCATGTTATATTCACATAATGTACAGATTAATTATTTAATACAATAATTTTGAGTAATGATAAAGAAAATACAAAGTTAAAAAAAATTGTATTAATTATCTTTAAAAAAATATATAAACAATTGATATAATAATTAACAATTTTTGACATGTTAAATTTAAATAATTTTTAATAATAATTTTTTATTTTTGTTATAATATAGCATAAATATCAGTTTTTAAACAGATATTAGGTAAAATATGTATTTTATAAATTTCCAAATGTGTTCGTTACATAATATTTCTTAACAGTTTGCTCCATGTATGAATTGTAATCACTTTGAGAAAATTTATATGCATATTTTTTTACCCTAACTGATATGTAAGAATAATAAACAAGTTGGTTGTGCAATTTTATAGAAAATTTAATTTAATAATCAGTCATAAATCTAAATTTCTGGTTTATTTTTGAGCTAATTTTTTAAGTTTAATAATAAAAATTTGGCCTAAAGATTTTTAATACCATCATTTGTTCACCTCTATAGTTAGTGTTATATTGAAAAATGTCAAATAAAGTGTTATATATACTAGTGATTTATGCATTTGATCTTGAGTTTGAGAATGACAGTCTGATAAAACAACAGATTACAATGACATTTAATGAAGAAACAATTTATTATAGATGTTTCACTTTACTTGAATGATTTGATATTGATGAGTAAAACAGTATTGATGAATTGCATGTTAAAACTTTTTCATTAAAAATTGTTTGAAAAATATATGCTTTCTTTATTTGTCCTTGACTTAAGTAGATCTCTTCTGATAAATCAATATTGATATTCAATAATTTATTAAAATATTGTGATGTGATGTAACTAATAGATTTTAATTTCAGAAAGTTTTAACTAAGTCATTATTTATAATCAAGTCATTTACATAATAATGTAACTATAAACAGTGTAGTATGTTATTCTTTTATGCAAGAGGTGCATGTCAACAGATACCATGTAAAACAAAATTCCATATAAATTTGGGCTCCACTCCCAATAGTCTTCACTTACAAACCCATTTACATTTACCAGAAAAGCATTCAAATGGGTTTAAAATGTTTTACTTAAATTTTATTTATCATAGTAAAAATATTAGTTTACTAGCGGGTAAGCCTGATGTTGCCCAGACAAAAAATAATAAGAAACATTAAGATTATTAGATTATTTCATACTCCTAACCCTTATATTATATTGTATTACAATATTTAATTTATATTTACGAAGGTTATCTTATGTAAGAGTTTATCACACCGAGTGCCCAATCTAACATATTTTAAAAATTCTTTAAATTATGTACAGTAGAGAAATAAAGAATTTTTAAACTGTGTTAAATTGACCAGTCACTTGGTGTGATAAACCCTTACATAAGATAACCTTTGTAGTTATATAAATAAAATACTATAATATATGAAACATTAAAACGAAAACTATGTAGAGAGTTTGGTTAATTTATTCTACCATTGTCAAGTTTATTGCAATACTTGGATGGTATGATATGGCAAAATTTCATTGGTCAAGTAGACATCAATTAAAAATATATCTTAAAAAATTTAAGATATCATATGTTTTTGCTAATGATATTCGGCTGTGAATGGTACAATTTCTTAAACTGTACCATTCACAGCCAAATATCAAATGGTAATCTGCCAATGGACCAAATATTTAAACTCAGCATTCTCAAAAACCACTTAAAACATTGAGTGTTTGAATTCTGTTGATAAGTCAAAAAAATGCTTTAATTGGCCAGGGAGAGATTTCATTATTTCTCCTCAGCCAATTATTAATTTTTCATAAACTGCATATATTTTATTTGTTTTGTTTTATTACTTTTTGTACTAAAGTACTTACTAATAATATTATAAATTGAACATTTTTGTAAAGTTTAAAGTTACTATTCAGAAATAATAAATTATATTTAATTAGCTGTTTTAGAGGTTTTTAAAATAAGTTGAGAATAGAATTATAACATATATCATTTCTGTACACAATATGTGCATTACAAATTTTTAATCAATGTTGAAATGTTTAAAATATTTTTCAGAATCAGAGGACTTTACGAGATACTGTTCACGCTACAGATGTTGTTAATGTTTGGAGAGGAAAAGAAGGTAAACTAATGAAATTGAATTCTATATTTCAACATATCTGAATTCAGATTTCATTATAGATTACAATATTAAATATTCACTGTCTGAAAATCTAATTCAAAAATATTCATTTAATAAAAATGTGTTTGAAATTTTAATTCCTTTAAGAGATATTAATTTCTTTTTAATAATTTCTAGTTATGATCAAACAATTAAAAATTGAACTTAGTGTTTTTAACTTTTGATGATACAAAAATGCATTCTTCTTCCTATAAATGTTATATATAAGTATTGAAAGTCATAGAAATTTTAAGTAGAAAATCATAAAGAATCAAGTCAGTCTGGAGACTGAAAAGTTTTAAGATATTCTCTTTATGAATTCTATTTTATACTATTCAAAAATAAGTTAGTTAAAATGATTTTTTTAGAAAACTTACAGTAAATTAAATGCAACAACTGACAATGGATCTTAAAAATATTTACAAAATGTTTTTAATCTTTTTTCAAATTGTGTATACTTTTTATGTTCTTTATGGATTAAGAGAAGATCAAAAATATTTTGATATTTCCTGAATATATTATTTTATAAGCTTATAAATTAGATATTTTTCATATTTTCAAAATAACTTTTGTTCATTTTTTAATGTAATGTGCCATTTTTTTGAAAATTCAAAATCAACATTATATTCTAAGCATTAAATTATTTATGAAATGGCTTCAGATTATCTATAAACCCTAGGTCCCACTTACAGAAAAATTGTGATGGAAAATGGAAATAGAAAATTCAAACAAAAATATCTAAGATGTAAAAAAAATTCTGTCAAGTAAAAAAATAATGAAATTTTAGATAGATAACAGTCAAATATTTTTATTTGAGAGTTTCTCTTTGGTAATGATAAGCTTGACACTTTAAAATGGACCCACAAGACTTTTATTATCTTTTTAAATAAATAAAAAGACGGTCATTTCCAAAAATTTTTTAAAAACTTTGGTCGATCACCTTTTATTTCCGTTAAAATTCCAGGATAAACTTCAGCAACTGGACCTTCCTTTTTAGGCTACACGGTCGTCTATATACAGTCCTTTAAAACACAGAAATAGTCCAATTAAAGTATTAAAACTTGTAAAAAGTTGGAACTGGTGATCTTTCGACGTCTTTGGGTTTTCATCCTTCTTCCTTTCGGGAGTTTCGGACCCTTATATTTACTTAGGAAATGCGCTGTTAAATGTAAATTGTCCTTATTCTCCCTCTGGAGGCGAATTATTACATAAGTTCTATTTTTTAAAATTTTTTAAAATTCAAAAAATTTTTACATCCAGCAAAATTTTTAAAAAAACTATCATTGTAATTTGATTGACTTATAACAGGAAGAAAGTTTTCTTTNAAAAAAAAAAAACCTTTTATTATCATTTCCTACATTTTGCTTTGAAGTGCAAACTTATCTTTATCATAGAAAAACTAAGAAAAAAATTTCACTGTTATCTAAATTGTTATAATTTTTTACTTGGAGCAATTTTTTTACATTTCAAATGTTTTTGTTTGGATATGAATTCTTTTTTGATTAATCATTCAATGTAATCATTAATCAAAACAATGACGTACAGTTTGGTCAGCACTCAGCAATGGCCACTAATCAAATGATTTCTATATGCCATTTAGTAAAGTTGGTATAAAAAATTTTAATTTGCATAAATTTGAGCTTTTGTTATCTTAGATGACATTTTGAATAAAAATTGGTCATTTCAATGCAGTTTCATTCATACAAGCATAAAATTAAGCTATAAAATTAAAATAGCTTTATGGGGAACCCACATGAATGACTATTGACTTGGAAATTTCGTGAGTGAGTGAGGTTTAAGTTTAAAATTTGAACTTTTTACACTCAGTAGTTTTCTCTAGGAGACTCTGCAGTGCTAGTTGAAGAAAAAGAAGAAAATAATACAGCTTTTTTGTGATTTTTGTACTTTTCAATTGTCCATATTTCAGCAACCCTTTATAGAAAAATTAAAATTTTGCATGACACCTAAAAAAACAATTATCTTTTGAATGAGACATTCAGAATTACTATAGGCATTTGGAAGGTGGAGAAACATTTTCAATCTAGTCAAGATCTTCCTCAGGTCTCTGTGAAATAGAATGCATTTTGGAATGTTAATGTACTTTGAAAAAAAACAAAACTTTTTGAATAAATACAAAAAATTGTGCAATACCAACATAACTACAGGAAAAGTACCAGAAAAAGCAAAAAGTAAGCATTAAAAATTGATACAATGGCTCTTGTTCTCTGATTTAAAAATTTCTATGGCATCTAGGGTTTTTATGTACTTAGGATGCCTAGATGTTTTGATTATAGTTACTTCATCGAGTAGGGTGTACACATCATTATCAGATGTGTAAGTAGTCAGGGCGGTACTGTTTTTCTTTTTATTTATTGATATATCAATACTTGTATTCCACTATTCTAACTTTGAGCGAGTGTGAGGTTAAGTCTATATATTCCAAATTGTTACCAAATCTATTGTCTCTCATGGGAACTTTGTACTCCTGGAAATCTGAGCAAGTTGTTATGATCCTTCCTGTTTTTAAGGATATTAAAGATGGTATGGTTATGTCTGAATGTTAATTGTATACCCTAATTGTAAAAAACACAGGGGTATACAATTAGCATTCAGACATAACTTTAATATCCTTAAAAATGGGAAGGATCATAACAACTTTCTCAGAATTTCAGGAGTTTACAAAATTCCTGTGAGAGATGATAGATTTGGCAACAATCTGGAATATATAGACTTAACCTTATGCTTGCTTGCTCAAAATTAGAATAGCAGAACACAAATATTGATATAAATAAAAAAAAAACAGCACCCTGACCACTTATGCGTCTGATAATGATGTGCATGCTCTACTCAATGAGGCAACTATAATCAAAACATTTAGGCATCCTGAGTACATAAAAATCCTGGAGGCCATAGAAATTTTTAAATCAGAGAACAAGGGCCATTGTATCAACTTTAAAGAGGATCAATGCTTGTCATATGCTTGGAAAAACACTATGTGTACATGAGAACAACAATGATGCAAACACATAACGTGATGTGTCATCATGATCATATACTGAATACATCAGTTTTTTAATATTTTTTAATGCTTTTTCAGGTACTTTTCTTGTAGTTATGTTGGTATTGCACAATTTTTGTATTTAATTATTCAAAAAGTTTCATTTTTTTCAAAATATGTTAACATTCAAAATGCATTCCATGTCATGTAGACCTGAGGAAGATCTCAACTAGATCAAAAACATTTGTCTTTAAACATTTTATTATCATTAAACAGTATTGGAAATAAAAAAATGCTCTAGTTGAATGTGGTTTTTATTAGTATTACTTTCCAATTCTCATTTGTTGTGAAGTTATTTCCTCATACATTTCATAAGTGGAAATGCAGCTTAACTCTTCACTAAAAATATATTTATAAACATTTGAAATTTTCCATTTTGAAGTTGATCTTTTTATATATATAATGTTCAATAGTTTTTTTTAGCACAATAATTAATCAGAAATGATTTGAAAATGTTTAAGAAACCAATATTTTAATTTCTGGAATGTAATGTTGGCATGAAACAATTCTTTAAATTACATAGTTTAAATATATGATTTTTGCAAATTGATTATATTTATTTTAAAAATTATTAAATAGTGTTTTTATATTATATTTAGAATATGAGACTATACCTTCAGAACATCTTGTTCCTGGTGATGTAATTGTAATACCAAAGAGAGGTTGCATTATGCAATGTGATGCTGTGTTGATCAGTGGAAATTGCATTGTTAATGAAAGCATGCTGACTGGTAATAATTTTTATATTTGTTTTGAAAAGTTTTTTGTGATGTTTGTAATTTTTCATCGCTAACTTTAGAATCAGATGTCAAACAATATTGCATCAACAAAAGAAACTAAAAAATTTTCTGATGCACTCTACATATGATTCTGAGTAATATAATCTTAAAGAAATTATACAAAAGTAACTTTTTAGGGGGATTTTTACGTTAAATTTTTAAGGCTATATTTATTATAAATTAAAATAGTTACTAATTCAAGAGTTTACTTATCTGAATTTTTTAAACCTAATTTAAAGATTTTTTTTATAGAGTTTTAAAGAAATGTGTGTTAGAATTATTGCTGCAAATGATTGAGTAATCCTAAGTTATGTTAACTTAGGATTACTCAATCATTTGCAGCAATAATTAAAAGAAAAACAGTTTATTAATCAGAAAAACAGATGTTTTTGGTTATATTTTAATGACCTTCATCTTACATCATGGGTAAAACGCTAAATAAATGCTATGCTAAATAAATAAAATAATGACCATCAGGTTGATGACTCAATTAATCTGCACAAAGTTTCATGCAGATGATTGAGTGATCTACTGAAGAAGCTATTTTATGAATTTTATATTTAAGAATTTATTAAAGAGATTATTTTTTGTAATTACATATTAACAATATTATTAAATAAAACATTTATAAAGAATATAATAATAATGGACAAGTAACAGATAAAAATAAAAAATACTTCTTGGTTCTCTTAATAAATAGGAAACTATTTCACTTTTTCTTTTGACTTGCAAAAACACTGCCTTATCTAAAGTTTACTAATTCAGTTGCCTATTACAAGTGTAGTATGTATGTTTTAAATCTGAGTTTTCATAATTTCCATAATAATAATGTTTACATGTATCTCTGAGATAAAACTGTTGCATCCAGAGTTGCACAGGAAGTAGCATCATGTATTCTAAAACATCTAAGAAATCTTAGAAATGAAAACATATTATAGCTTACAGTGATATGTGTACAGGACAAAGTAGAAATATAAAATTAGCCTTAACATTGTTAAAAGTTGTCCAGTCTGTCAAACATAATACAGATGCCATTGATCATAAGTTCCTGTTATCAGGGCATTCATTTCTACTGAGTGATAAAGGTTTCAGAGTTGTAGAAATGGCATTAAGAAAAAATAATTTATCTTTTGTCCCCCAGGATTATTACAAAGTCATAAAAATGTGTTGAAAAAGTGAAAGCTTTATAACACAATATATTGTATTGCTTTATTTATTTTAAGGGTATTACAGTGGTGCCTCGTATAACGGACGCTGTGAATAACGGACTTTCTGTTTGACCGTTACGTGACTCGAGCAACGGACTGGCTGCGGACAACGGTCTTTCCGTTCGGCAGTTACGTGAGGCGACCAATGGACTTTCTACGAACAAGTGCGAATGATGTTTCCACTCTTTTGCCATTGTCAATGACAATCTGCTATTTTTATGATATATTAGTATTATTAGAATATATTATCAGTATATCTGAAGTACAGAGCGTTGGGATTAGGCTTGCTGCTTTGTTTATTAGGTACATCAACACAGTGCAGGGTATTTACATTTATTCAAGTGTTGTGCAATCATGGCTTCTAAAAAAAGCAGAAAAGTGATTTCAATTGAAACAATGCAAGAAATCATCAGGAGTGAAAGTTGACAAAAACTTCCTTGTCGAATGGGGAGAGGTTCAGGAGTTTACCAACACTCATTATCCAAACAGAGCTGAGGCAAACAGTATCAATGATCTCTACAATGACACCCTTGCCTGTCATTTCCGACAGGTGTTGAAGAAGAGAGAGAAACAGACCACCTTGGACATGTTTTTCAAGAAGCCAGCTGTCAAAAAACAAAGGATGTGGAACAAGAGGAGTTGACCCTGCAAGCTCCGGTAGTCTCTCCTGAATCTGAATCCAATTAAAAAACAATAAAAAAAAAAGACCCGCTGCAATGTGTAAAAAGTCTGATCTGTATGAATGTGTGAAGAAAGTGTTCCTTCACCTCCTCCTCACAACATCTGACTATCCGGCATAATTGGTGACTGCTCCATTTTCATTTTTTTATGGTACAGTACAGTTATTTTATGCTGCAGAACGAATTATATGTTTTAACATGTATTTCTATGGAAAAATGCGTTTCGTATAACGGACTATTCACTTAACGGACGTGCACCTGGAACGAATTAAGTACGTTATACGAGGCACCACTGTATATTGATACTTTTTTTTTAAGGGACTTAAGCTTTTTCAAAAATTGAAAAAATTATTTCATAATTTTGAAAGTGGCTTAAGTTTATTTATGGCTGACAAAAACATGTTATTTTTTAAATAATGTTTATTATAGTGATTGGTTAAGTAAATTAAACACTTTTAGAAACACAAAAACATTATATTACCATTTTATTATTTACCAATATTTTAAAATTAATTAAAATGCAAACCCTTAAATATCCCAATTTAAAGGTAACTAGACTTAGGCCACTTTTAAAATAAACAGCTCATATACTGTAATTCAGTTTAATATAAGATTTTTTCTTTGTTCTATTTATGCTTTTTAGATATTACATTCTTATAATGTTTGAATCATAACCATTTTTTTAAATTTAAGGTGAGAGTGTTCCAGTTACTAAAACTCCCCTTCCAAATCCTGGCATTGGTAAAGTTTATCAAGATAAATCTTTCCATCCTAAAGAACATGCTCGCCATACATTATTCTGTGGGACCAAAGTTATACAAACACGATACTATGGAAGTGAAAAAGTGAAAGCAGTTGTAATAAGAACAGGTAAAAATTAAAATAAATAAAAACTAATATTTATTATTATTAATATTATTTTATATTTTTAAATTGGAAAGGAATTTGCTATATTTTCATCTTTATTAACTGTCTCTGTCTATTTNAAAACAAAAAATTGGATGATAAGAATATATAGTATCTTACAAAAAGTTTTTAGGAAAGTTTATTTTAAATAATTTTTTCAAAATTATGTTGTATTATTTATGTTTGTTTGCTTAAATACATATAATTAACAAATTTCAAAAACAGGTTATTTACATATTAAATTAATATGATGTAATAATCAAAAGACATCATAGAAATAATATGAAAAATTGTTAGAAAGATGGAAACAGATACAATAAATTTTTTCATTTTATCTTAATATGTCAAAGAGAAATTACATCACTTTTTACAAAAGCAATAAAAATATAAATGTAAATAGTTGATGCCTTTTGTATTAATTAATTAATAATACACTATATTTATATTTTCTTACCTGTTATAACTATTTACAGTTTTTATGCCTTTAAATAATTTGATTCCCCAATAAATTTATGTACTTTTATCATGAAATAAAAAATGAAAGCTACACTGTTGTTAAAATTGTTTATAAATATTTTGTAACATGTAATTATTTATTTTATATTTATGGAAATTTATAAACTATAGTTGAAAATTATTAATAATAAATTTTTATTTAATAGGATTCTTAACAGCAAAAGGAGAATTAGTTCGCTCTATCATGTTTCCAAAACCTGTTGATTTTAAATTTAATCGACATGTTCATAAATTTATTTGTTGCTTAGCAGGATTTGCAATTATTGGATTTGTATACACTGTTGTACTTAAGGTGAGGAAGAAAAATTTTATCTAAAAAGGAAAAAAGTTTTTTATTTATTTTCAGTTATATTTTATGAATATTTTACAAAAAGAATTTACTGTATATCTGTGCAGATAAGACAATAGTTGAATCATAAAAAAAAGACTCCAAAATCCAGGGTCATCTTATAGGACAGTTACAAAAAAAAAATTAGATTGAAATTTATATAAATTAAAATCATTATAAAAAAATGGACAAACCATAATTATTTACTAGTAGAGAGTAGGGTATGTTCACAAAATAGAATAGCCCATACAACGTTTTTGTGAATAGTCAAGGTCATTACCTAAATGCCTGAATCAGTGCAAATGTTTACAGTGCTGCCAGATGCAAGAAAATAAAATTTGTTCATTTGAAAAATTACAAATAGGACATAATTCTGTATATGCTATACAGTATTATTATCCAGATGATGATTGCTGATCTAAACTAAATTCATAGGCCATTGATGATTTGGGGGTCGTCTTATAGGACAGATATATGCTAAAATTATAAAACTTTGACGAAAATTTATACCTTGTCTTATCTGAAAGTTATCTTATCTGCACAGATATATGGTACTTTTCATTAGGATTCTAAATAATTTATTTTTATTTCATTTAAAATGTTTCATTATTATAAAGCAAAGTTATAAAGATTATTTGTATTCTTTATGAACAGAATTTTTCAAATATTTGATAAAATTTTTTAAATAATTTTGAGAATACAACTGCTTAAAATAGTTTATTATTTCACTTTTAATTTAATCTTCAATCATTTCATAAAATTTAATAGTGTATTGTATGAAAGAAACTCTAATGCTACATATCATATGACTAAAATATGACATTGATAATTGATTGGAGATTAATATTTGTAATTAAAACAAATTGTAATAATTGATACTGTAGGAAAATATTAACATACTTATTATTATTATTATGGTTGTGATGTAAATGTCAAATGAAACTTATTTGATATCTGCACATTTAATGTTTTGCATTCATCTGTACTGTTAGTACCAAGTTTAACCTGTTATACTTTTTAGTTTGTATGTTCTTGAGGTTTGGCTTATTAGAATCATAAATACTTGTAGACTTCTTTCTTGTTGCTATTTCAAAGTCTTTCTCTTCCAGAATTAAATTAAATTTTCATTATTTAAAGTGTTTTGTAATGAGATATTTAATTATATTCCTGTTACACTAATAGATTTCTTGTAAATTTTTTTTTTTTTTGAGTTTGAGGAACTCTAGATAATTAATGGTGTAATTTGTCAGAATAAGTTTAAGAATTTTCAATTGGCTTTTTAGTATATTCAGTAACAAGCTTTAAGAAATTAATTTATGAATTTAATTTTAAAACAATGCCTAAAAGATTAATTTATGATTATTACATTTAAATTGGAACAATATTTATATTATTTAGGCCCAAAGAGGAGTACCTGCTGGTGATATTGCATTGAGAGCTTTAGATTTAATAACAATAATTATACCTCCTGCACTACCAGCTGCCATGACAATAGGAATTGTGTTTGCTCAACAACGATTGAAAAAACGTCAAATTTATTGTATTTCTCCACGTTGTATTAATATCAGCGGTTGTATAAATTGCGTTTGCTTTGATAAGACGGGAACTTTAACTGAAGAAGGACTCGATCTTTGGGGTGTTGTACCAGCAGATTCAAATAAGTAAATAAATATACAGATATTTTTAAAATTTATCAAAATAAAGATCGTATACTTAAAAAATTTTTTTTTGAATTTAGATTTTCTGAACCCGTGAAAAATATCTCTATGCTTCGAAACTCTCCCTTTCTGATAGGAATGACAACATGTCATTCTTTGACAATTATTGATAATCAACTTAGTGGTGATCCTTTAGATCTTAAAATGTTTGAAGCCACAGAATGGGTAAGAATTTTGCATTATTCAAATTCATTGTTTCAAATTTGTGTTATTTGTACAAATTTGAAATAACGATAAAATAAAAAATTTATGACTCGTTAACCAATGTGAATAACGTTTAAATGATGAATGTTTTCGTTACCCCTTCTAAGCAATTCTTCAGGTCAATTCTTATTTCAACTAAGCTGGCCGTTGACATTCGAAAATAAATCAAATGGTATGGATTTCAAATATGGCAGGTACATGCATTCTCAGTAAGATGTTTAAAAAAAAAAAAAAAGGTTGAACCTTTTAACGTTTGACGTTTTTTTAAACATCTTATGGAGAATGCATGTACATGCCATATTCAAAATCCTTACTATTCGATTTATTTTTGAATGTCAATGGCCAGCTTAGTTGAAATAAGAATTGCCCAGAAGGGGTAATGAAAACGTTCGTCACTTAAACGTTATTCACACTAGTTAATTGGTTGGTGAGTTGTAAGTTTTATTTACATTGTGGTGTTGTGCAGTTAAACAAATAATAAAATAATTGCAAATTATTCAATTTGCATTATTCATGCATTATTTCGTTATTCAAATTTTAAATTAATACACAGTTATTTGTATTTCATAAAAATAGATTTTGGAAGAACCAGAAATAGATGACACAACTAAATTTGATGTGATTATACCAACCATTGTCCGTCCAAAACATGATGCTAACTGTGATAAAATTATTGAAAGGGAGGTAAGTATTTACATAATTTGTAAAATCATTAAAAATTTAATCACATTCATTGATAGTTTTTATGTATGTACTGTACCTGTACATTAAAAACACATTGTTCAAAAAAAATTTTCAAAAGTACAATGTGAACTTATCCAAAACATATCCTTGTATTTATTTTTTCTAATTAATAACTTTAATGTAATTATTTGTAAAGATTTAAGTAGGGAGAAATAGTGATAGAGATGTACAGTAGAACCTCGATTATCCGGACTAATTGGGGATGAAGGTAGTCCGGATAAGGAAAAATCCGGATAATCGAAACAAATACTTTAATTTGTCTTTTAATGATAATATAACACGTTTTCTTTTCGATGACATATCGGTAATATTAAAACTAAATACTGTATTTAAATCGTGATCAAATTTTCAAAAAAGAAACATTCGTATTGCATTTGGACTACTACTGACCAACGCTAACAGACTACCTATTGTTTAAAAGGCCCTCTGGTGGCGCAAGAAGACGGATTTTATAAAATAAAATGCAGTTGATACTGCATTTTTATGAATAAAAATTTGACAAACAATTTATCATTTTATGACGAGTAAAATTTTTTCGTCGCGTTCGCGGCTTTTAAGTAATGCGTAAACCTTCGAGGCGCGAGGCCCTTCGAACCGCGAGGCATAGGCGGTGGCCCACGTCATCCATGCCTTACGCCGCCCTTGGTCATAGAAATGATATAATTTGAATATAAATTATTTATAAATACGTATGTCAAATTATATTTTTATTACTACGTAAAATATATTTAAGAGTTTACGACCACTGTGCTGGATGAGGCGTTGTTGAAACAAAAAAGTTATGCTTTCCATCACGTACATAAACTGTCGTAATTCGCCAATTGCAAATCAGCAAATTCGTAAAATTTTTGTTTATTTTGAACAATCCGGATAATCGAAAATCCGGATAATGGAGGTCCGGATAATGGAGGTTCTACTGTACTTAGATTCCATGTATTAAAAATTACATTTTACAAATGTGACGTCACCAATGACTTCAAACCACCTGTAATCAACATTTAATTACATGCTGACTGATAATGTAAATCATGACTATTTCATAGAAAAAAAATAAGAATTTTTAACATAATTTTTACTCTAAAATATTATTTTTAGCCACCATTTGAAGTTGGAATTGTTCGTCAGTATCCATTTTCATCCAGTTTGCAGAGAATGAGTGTAATAACTAGAGTCTTGGGAGCTCAGCAGTTTGAAATTTATTGTAAAGGTGCTCCAGAGACAATAACATCTCTCTGTAATGTTAACACTGGTAAAGTTTTATTTAATATAAAAGTCAAATCATTTTAAAATACTTCAATTTTTAATTTTTTTAAATATATTTATATTTCAGTTCCATGTGATTTTAGTGAAACATTGATGCAATATACACAACAAGGATATCGAGTGTTGGCACTTGCTTATCGTCCTCTTGGTAAATTAACATATGCTAAAGCACAAAGGATTTCAAGAGAAGAATTAGAATGTAATTTAACATTTTTGGGTCTTCTAATTATGGAAAATAGGTTAAAACCAGAAACAATACCTGTTCTTTCAACATTAAAAGCTGCTGACATTAGATTAATTATGGTAACAGGTAAATAATATTTCTTTATAAACATTAGATTCTTAATATACTTACAGGAAAATATTTAAAATTTTCCATATAATAAACTAGAATATTATTTGTAAATCTCAGATTCTTAAAATTTGCTTAGTTTCTTTTTTATTAAATTGAAGATTTTATTTTATTAAGTTTTACATTAAATATTTATTATTAAAATATTTTGGATATATATAACATATAATTTGTTGGTAAATCATATAAAATGATTCCTATCAATAAAGTAGAACATCAATTATCTGAAAAATCAATTATCCAAACCTTACTTCAGAGAGTACTAATTTCAGAAATTATGAATTTTTATTTAATAATTGTCAGTGACCTTTTGTAGGGCTGATATTGAGCTAGCTTGTTAACAACACTAGTTATCTATTACAGTATTAAAAGAAAAGCATGATTAATAAGTCAAGGTTTATAATGCATTAAATTTCTATACCTTATTCTAGAATTAATATTAATATTCATTGTTTATTTAACGTATTTATCTTTTTATTCTTTCCTTAATAAGTGTGATCAGTTATCTAAAAAAAATTGTTATCAAAAATTTTCCTGCCTCAATTGTTTCAGACAATCAATGCTCCACTGTATAAGTGTTAATGTACCAAAATGCTTACATTTGGTACAAAAACACTCATGTTTCTTTTAATAAATGTAAATGTCAGTAAATAATAATAGTAATAATAATTTTAATTATTTAAAAATTCAGTGGATTGTAAGAATAGTTTTAAATGCATAAAGATNTTTAATAAATGTAAATGTCAGTAAATAATAATAGTAATAATAATTTTAATTATGTTTTAGGTGATAATATGTTGACAGCATTGAGTGTAGCTAGAGACTGTGGCATGATTGATTATCAGCACCAAGTAATTGTGTTATCAGCTACAGAAGATGAAGATACAGGTCTTCCATCTTTATCATGGCATTATGCAGATATGCAAAACAAAAAATTGGATGAGGATAAAACCATTCACAAGGTATACAATAATTTTGTATAATTTTTTTAAAAGCTATTACTATTATGTTTATAAATATTTATATCTGAATTTCTTTTAAGGATTCAGTAAATGTTATTGTAGAAAAATCTGAAAAATTACATATTGCAATTACTGGAAAGACATTTTCAGCTTTAAGAAAACATCATAGCCATCTTCTTAAGAAAGTAATTTGTACATTTTTATTATTCTTTTATTATAATATACACTCTAAATTAAAATTTAAAAACTACAATAGAGAGAGAGTGTTTTTTTTAGACTTGATGTATATTAAATCTTTTACATAATATCAGATTAAAATATTATGAAAATTATTTGTTGAACTTAGGTAGCTGTAAATGGCACAGTGTTCTCGAGAATGGCACCTGAACAAAAACAACAGCTTATTGAATTATTACAAGAGTTAGGGTAAGTTTTCTTCTTATTAAATCTATTATTTAGCTTCATGAAATTAAACTTTAAAAAAGTGTTCCTGAAATATTTTCAAAGACTAGTAGAAATGAAGTGAAATAATAAAAAGATTTGGGTATTTAATCATTATTTGTATTTTCAACACATATAGTTTAAATAGTTTTTTCTTAAATATTCCAGTTTTTTCCTTTCTCATTAATTTTATAATTACATCTGTAATGAATTACTAACACAAATGAAAGAATATTTGAGACAAAATCTTATAAATAAATATACTGATATAATTCATGTTTTTAACAGTCACTTCAGCAGTGAGGTTTATATACTGGTGCACGTTACATAAAGATTCTATTTCAATTTTAGCAATTTTTTTCATAGTATTATGCACCAATGTTTACTCCAGAATACCCTGATGCAGAGTACCTATATGGAATTATGGTATTTACAAACCTGCTTTTAAAAAAGCTAAATTATTTTTAGTATACATTTTCCTATTCAGTTATAGAAATATTAGTTTGTTATTATATAATTAATTTAAATTCAGGAATTGTTCAATAATTCACACACTATGAAGTTGTTTGAGCTTGTCTTAGACCGCCGAATCCGCAACCTCATCAAACTCACTGTAAACCAGGCTGGCTTCGTCAAGGGATGTGGCACGATAGATGCTGTCCTCGCTGCTTGACTCCTCGTTGAAAGGCATTATGAGAAGAGGATCCCGCTGCACATTGCCTTTCTTGATCTTGAGAAGGCATTCGACCGTGTGCCACGTGAGCTTATCTGGGCCGCTCTTCGCCAGCATCACATTCCTGAGGAACATATCAGTTGGGTACAATTGCTCTACTGCAATCCAATGAGCCATGTCCATGGCATCACTGGGACCTCAAAACCATTCTGCGTCTCCGTCGGTGTTCACCGGGGCTCCACTCTCTCCCCACTTCTCTTTATTGTTGTCATGGATGCCATCACACGTGACATCCAGCGAAATGTACCATATACATTACTGTATGCTGACGATGTGCTCCTTGCCTCCACTGACAAGATCGACCTGCAGCAGCTTGTCCAGGTATGGTGTAGTCGCCTTGCACAACATGGCCTCCAACTGAACCTGAAGAAGACTGAGTACTTAACGGCAGATCTGACTGAGGAAGGCACAATAGTTGTTGATGGCATCAGCCTTCCCCGAGCTGAGCTGTTTAAATATCTTGGGTCTGTGATCTCTGCCGATGGAGACTTGTACCATGAGGCAGTTGCAAGCGTCAATGCCGCCTGGGTGAAGTGGCACTCAATAACAAGTGTGCTGTGCGACCGATGCATCAAGGACCAACTTAAGTCAAAGATTTATTGAACCATCATCCAGCCTGTCGCACTGTATGGAGCCGGGTGCAGGCCAACTACGAAGGTCGTCGACCGACGACTTGCTACTATGGAGACTAGGATGTCGCGTTGGATGAGTGGCCTTACCAGACTTAATCAAGTACACAACGTAGACATCAGAACCTGGTGTGGCATTGCTGAGATCAACGAGAAAGCGCGTGAGTAGCGCCTGCGTCTTTATGGCCATGTGCTCCGTGCTGATGCCGACTCCATCATTTACATGGGCCTAAATTTGGAGGTACCTGGGTCTTGCCCAAGGGGCCACCCAAGGCAGCATTGGCTGGACACCAGCTGTCATGATGTAGCGTGTACACCCAGACCAGGCCCGTGATCGGGCCAAATGGAGATTCAAAATAAAATCCAGATGTGCCAACCCTGCTGCTAAATGGGACTAAGGCCAAAGAAGAATTGTTCAATAATCTTTTATTTTAGAAATAAGTTTCTTTTGAACACACAAACATAAATTTATCAGAAATATAAAGAACATTTATAAATTTTGATTCTATTTACAATTAAATACTGATTTAAAGAGGCAAGAAAGATTTTTAAAATGTAATCAAAAAATCTCTTAAATTATAGATATTATGTGGGAATGTGTGGAGATGGAGCTAATGACTGTGGAGTAAGTTCCAAGATTATATTTTTAAAATTAAATTAAAGAAATTAAATAAAAAAATTATTTTAATTAAAATCCAAATTAAAGATATTAATTTACTAATGTAAATGATTTTTAACAGGCATTAAAAGCAGCTCATGCTGGAATTTCACTCTCTGAGGCCGAGGCTTCAGTTGCTTCACCATTTACTTCAAAAACACCAAATATTTCTTGTGTTCCAACATTAATAAGGTAAATAAAATGCTATGGTTTTATTTTTCAGTTTTATTAAATTTATTTCTAATATATCTAAATATAATAAAACATAAATTAATTTTCATAGGGAAGGACGAGCAGCTTTAGTTACTTCATTTGGAGTACTGAAATACATGGCATTATACAGTCTTATTCAATTTATTTCAGTGTTGATTCTTTATACGGTAAAAACTGAAATTTTATCTTGTTATCTGATTTATTTATTCTAAATGGAAACAATTCTGTTTTAAGTGCTAAAAAAATCTTTCTAGTTTAATTCTATAATAAAACTAAATGTTTTATAAGTAATTTTTGCACATTAAATAAATTAAAAAAGAAAGTATTTAATTAAAAATTTATAAGATATCCTCATGGATTAAGGAGTCAAATAATATTTGATTCTACAGGCATACTCTCTCCAGATTATGATCATCTCATGATTAAACAAACTGCTGATACAACCATCATATATTTCTATCCTATAATGCATTTTATTATTCCCATCAATATGACACTTCATCCATTTCAAATGTTGCCACCTGTCAAGTTTTTGCATCATGTGTCTGGGTGTCTAGGCAAAGACCAAAAATGTCTTGGTTTTAAGAAAAATTGTCAATAATTAATTATTTTTTAATGATATAGCTGATTTTATAACCAACAAACAGAAACAATCTGATAAGTTACTTGAATCTTGAAGACAGCCTTTATTTAAGGAGAAGGTTTTTTTAATGAAGCCAATTTAAGTTCAACTTTTCTGTCTTTTAAGAGATCCTTTAGAAAATATTTTATGGTACCATGGTATCTTTGATAAGTTTTAAAATTGAGGGCCACTACATACAGTCCGACTTCCATATTAGGAACTTCTATATTGCAAATTTCTCTCTATAACAAAATTTTGCATTATACATTGCTCTTTCGGTCAAAAATATGTGTAAAATTGTTTTTAAATAAAGTTAAATTTATATATAACAAATTTTTTTTTAATTTATAAGGACTATCAATTCTATTGATTATTAAAGTAGATTTCTCCATTTGGGTTGAGTTTGAATTTAGGTTCAGTTTCAGATATCAAGCTATAAACCCTTTAAACCATTTGTAAACTTTGGACCAGGTGTGAGAAATACTGGTCATTAGCTTTTAAAATCACTACATAATCTGCCCTCTCCCACTGGTTACCAGTTGTAAAGAAGAGAGAGGGAGATTATCTGTCACCAGGAGCATTTGGACCTAAATGATTTACAATTAACGAATGTCAAAAATATTAGAAAAGTGATCATTTTGATAACCGGTGGACTAATTTTTGTGGTTAGTGAGATTTTATTTTATTTAATAAGTCATCTAGTTGGAATTTGAAGAACTGTTAATATAGTGTTTAAGCATTACTAAAACAATTAATGTGTTGTAATAAAGGCCCAAAAAAAGAAAGACATTGCAGCAAAGTTTGGAATTCCTGTGAATAGTTTATCAACCATAATAAGAAATCATGAATTAATTTTGAAATTAGCCAATGATGTACTGACCTAAAGCAAAACATGCTAGAACCAATGTTTACATTGATGTAGATGAAGCAGTATTGATGCATTTAATAAGTGTGCAAATTATGAAGAGAGGACATTTTTTAATTGTTCTGTGCAACAAAAAAATGACAAATATTTTTTACAAAAATTTAGTTAAAATAACTTCTATTTTAACATATAAATGTAAACTTACTTAAAATTAAAATTACATTTATATTGTATTTATACTAATTTAAATTACATAAAATAACTAAAAAAATTACATTAAAATAATACTTTATTTACCAAAAAGTATAATTTCTGTATAACAAAATTTCCCTATAGCAAATTTTTTTTCAGGATTTAGTAACTTCATTATATACAAGTTTGACTATATTGTCAAATGCATCTTTGACATCTAAAAATATTAACAGAGATATCAATTTCTTCTTCCTTTTCTGTAGAGTATCACACAATTTAACAAGGGCATCCTCTGCATAATGCTTGGACATGAAACCATATTGGTCATTGCTCAAAAAGTTTCCATGAGGTGAAACTTTCTTTAAATGAAAAAATTGTATGGGAGATGGCAATTCACAATACAACTACAAATGATAGAATGCATTATGTATGTAACCTGTTGTATGCCTGTATTTAAATTATAATTCTGTATTAAGCTTTTTCATTTAGAGTTCTTAGTTTTTATCAAAAAACTTTATTGAACATTTTAGGATATTTAATTTTTATATAATATTAATAGTTAAAAAGTTTAGTACTTCATTTTAAACTTTTTAACTATTCATGTAATTGTGTAAATGAATTTTATAATAAAAATAAGCATTCTTATTCTAAAAGTTTCTTGACTTTTATTTCTTTTCTTTCATTTTATAAATATTTCTGAAGAGTTTATTATCATTGTCATCAGTATTTTAAATGACTAATTTAATGGCAATAAAAAACATATTACTTTATTGTGGGGAAACTTAAATTATTATTATTGTTTTTACAAATTTTAAAAGATATTCATCTAAGACAAACAGTACCTCCCTCCTTAAAAAGCAATACATGTGATCTAAAAAATCACTAAGATAAATATTATTATAGTATATTTAATTGTAATATTTAATAAAGATTTATTACAAATAGATATAAAAAATAACTTGATGTTTTTGATTAATATTTTATTTCATTCTAAGTTTAAAAATAATTTCATAAATATTTTTTTATATTTTTTTAGCTCTATTCCAATTTAACAGATATGGAATTTCTCTATATTGATCTCTTTTTAATTACTTTATTTGCTGCATTGTGTAAGTTTCAATTAAATTAAACATTTTGTTTATATAATATTTTTTTAATTTTTGAGAAATTTAAGATCTTTTTAACCTTTAATTTTTAGTTGGTCGAACTCAACCTTATGATTCTCTTGTTAAAAGACCACCTCCGTCCAGTCTCATTGGCATCACTCCACTTTCATCCTTATTGTCACAGATAGTTCTTGTTATTATTGCCCAAGTATTAGGTGTTCTGGTTCTATGGCAGCAACCTTGGTAAAAATAAAATATAAGCTAAAAAAGCATGATAATTTTGGTTAATTTAATTTATTAAAGATTGATGAAAACATTATGTTTATGAAATAGGTATAAGCCTCATGTTTCAAAGGATGAAGATGACCACAAGTGCCATGACAATTATGCTGTGTTTGCTGTTTCTGTCTTCCAATATATCACACTGGCTATAGTTTATTCTAAAGGGGCACCCTACCGGAAATCATTTTTTACTAACCGTGAGCTTATATTGTTAATGTATATTTTGTAAATCATTTTTGAAATTTTTATATTTACAGCTTTTTATTTCTTTACTTCTAGTATTTTTTTTAATATCATTGATTGTTATGACTGCCTTCACTTTATATCTTGTTCTTAAACCTCATCAATGGCTAGCTGATTCATTTGAAGTAAGTAAAAAAATATTTTTTTAAATAGTGCTTTTTTTAAATATATTAAATGATATATCAAATATAGCCAGATTTTTCAGATATTTATGCTATTTTTAATAATGAAAATATATTTTAAAAATCTGGATATTTGGCATTAGTATTTGAATTTTGATTTATTCATACATGCTTTAAGTTATATAACTTCATAATATTAAAATTCTTTATCTTTAAAACCAAGTTTATCTTTAACTTATACTTTCTTCTTTTAATCTGGTTTTAAAGAATAGAAATCTTAAAACTAGTTTTTAAAGATTTATATTCTTGATTCTCTNAATATTTTTTTAATTTTTGAGAAATTTAAGATCTTTTTAACCTTTAATTTTTAGTTGGTCGAACTCAACCTTATGATTCTCTTGTTAAAAGACCACCTCCGTCCAGTCTCATTGGCATCACTCCACTTTCATCCTTATTGTCACAGATAGTTCTTGTTATTATTGCCCAAGTATTAGGTGTTCTGGTTCTATGGCAGCAACCTTGGTAAAAATAAAATATAAGCTAAAAAAGCATGATAATTTTGGTTAATTTAATTTATTAAAGATTGATGAAAACATTATGTTTATGAAATAGGTATAAGCCTCATGTTTCAAAGGATGAAGATGACCACAAGTGCCATGACAATTATGCTGTGTTTGCTGTTTCTGTCTTCCAATATATCACACTGGCTATAGTTTATTCTAAAGGGGCACCCTACCGGAAATCATTTTTTACTAACCGTGAGCTTATATTGTTAATGTATATTTTGTAAATCATTTTTGAAATTTTTATATTTACAGCTTTTTATTTCTTTACTTCTAGTATTTTTTTTAATATCATTGATTGTTATGACTGCCTTCACTTTATATCTTGTTCTTAAACCTCATCAATGGCTAGCTGATTCATTTGAAGTAAGTAAAAAAATATTTTTTTAAATAGTGCTTTTTTTAAATATATTAAATGATATATCAAATATAGCCAGATTTTTCAGATATTTATGCTATTTTTAATAATGAAAATATATTTTAAAAATCTGGATATTTGGCATTAGTATTTGAATTTTGATTTATTCATACATGCTTTAAGTTATATAACTTCATAATATTAAAATTCTTTATCTTTAAAACCAAGTTTATCTTTAACTTATACTTTCTTCTTTTAATCTGGTTTTAAAGAATAGAAATCTTAAAACTAGTTTTTAAAGATTTATATTCTTGATTCTCTTTTCATTGATTACTTATTATTATTTATTATTACATAATATTTATATAAAATTAAGATAGAGTAAAAATCATATCTTATTCTTTAAATAAGCTTTAATGTTCCAAACATAAATATTGATTTGAAAATAAGAAAAAAATAACTAATAAAAGTTAAAATAAATCTTTAAAATAATTTAGTTTTCAGTATTGTTGTTTAAATGATTGATTTGAAAAAATTTCTTAATCTTTTTGATAATAATAATAATATAAGTTACATTATTATTAATTATTATAAAAAGGCTTAATTTTGTGGATAGGAATGATTTTTTTTTCTTTAAATTGTGAATACCAATATGTAAAATTTCAATAAGTCTGACTCTACTGTGACACATGGCCCCTCTCTATCTCCCCCCCTCAATCTTTAACCACCAAATCAATGTCCTTTATACCTTATTTAACCAGGGTGGCCAAGCTTCTTGATAGTCCGAGCCATTTTTCAAAATTTGAAATTTTTCGCGAGCCGCAATTAAATACGTATTAAAAAGGTATGCAAAAAATTCCAGATTACAAATTATATCCGTAGCAAGAGTGATACAAATTGTTTCTTCCAGAGCACAATGTCAGCTGTCCATTGCAATGACAGTTTACAAATTCAAAATCGGTCTGCAGTCGGTCGATAACGGACGATTACGCCACTGTTTATGTTCGTTCGCGCAATTTTCCATGAGTCATATCATTCTTAACTTGGATGGAAATGAAATTTGTTACAACGTTGCACTTAATCTTGCATATTTGTTGTTAGTAATTTAAAAGATATTTTGAAACACATACGAACAATAATAATTTTTTAAAATATAATAACACAAAAATGAAAAGGGAACTCGGGTACATTTATCGAGAGCCACAAATAATCATTCAAAGAGCCGCATGCGGCTCGCGAGCCGCAGGTTGGCCACCCCTGTTATATAAAGTTATCAATCCAAATTTCATTTTCTTAGTGTTTACCCCATTCTGAGATATTAAAGAAATAAACAAAATACAAACACACATTTATAAAGAAAAAGTGGGTATAAAAAAAATTCATATATATATATATATTCCATGGAATTTTTCCTCTTTTCTTGTTGTTACTTTTTTGAGTTTAGGGGGGTCTCAAAACAATGAGGTTTACAAAAACCTCATGGTCAAATTTGATACAATTGCAATACTTTTTTGTGCTATTTACATAACAGCTGGGAAAATAAAACCATATCTGCTTTTCTAAAGTCTAAATGACCTATAATCTTAACAGGATAAATTCCAAGTACCTTTAGACATCTTCAGGAGATATTTATCTTTAAACAAATTTTTAAATATGTCTTATTCAAAAAACTTCAGTACTTTTTTAAAAACTATCTTTCAAGTGTAAGAATTGCCAACCAGGAAAGGAGGAGTCAGCTAGACTCAAGTCAAGATGTACAAGGGGTTTAGAATGGTATCTGGGTTGTTGGACACACTGACACAAGCACCTTTACAATTGAAATTTGTTTATTTTGATATAACATGGGAGCTTACCCTTTCTTATAGTCAAGTATCACTTTGACAAAGTTTGAGAGATTTTGCTGGTTCTGGTGAATTGCTGGCTGTGTCTCTAGCAAGCCCAGCAGATGGAAGACAATGGAGATGACAGAGTGCAGACAGGAACAACAGAACTTCAGTAAGGATGTTGTCACAGAGAATAGAGGGGGGAGTGCATGGGCTACTTTGAAATGATAAAATGACAGAAATTTGCACTTTGCCCTTGAAATTTTGAGTATTTAAAGGATTCTTACTGTGATTTGTTCCGATTTCCTCTCATCATTTCTCAATTGGTCTCCTCCCTTGTTTCAGGTGGAAACAAGATCGATCTTTGGTGTTCAACTCAACACCATCTCTCAATTCTGACTGAAAGATATTGATGGAACTTCAAAACTTGCACTCATATTTTAGAACATTATGGTTTCTGTTCTGACATTTTGGAATTTTAATTTTAACTGCTACATGTAACATTTTTCTTTCATTAAATTTCCAGTTTCTCGATTCAGTTTGACTTCAATCATTTGTATACGAGTGTCAGAGTCAAACTGTCCAGAATGACATTGACCTATTTTCTAACTCGTGTCAGAGTCACGCTTGGGACTCACATCGTTTATTTATTAATTTTTTCTTTCAGAAAAAAAAATATTTAAATGCAAATTTTATTGAAGATTCAGAACTCTCCAGAGCCTTGCACAAGCAGTTAAATCCCTGTTGTTCTAGAATGTTCTCTGCTGTATTAAAATAATCTACTCTTTTTATCTCTTTATTGTATATATTTTTTAATAATCTAAGGAAAATTCTCACATATTAAATTTCTTATTTAAGATTGCAAATTTTGTAATAAAAATCAGTAAACTTTACTACAGTAGAATGCAAATGCAATGCCACTGAAACAAACTAAAACAGATAAAGGAAACATCATATCACAATGAGTACTAACATTACATGGGTTTTAGTGAAAATTCAGATACAGAGAGTTTTGATAACATGTTAATTATTCTTGGAGAAGACATCAGATATATAGGGTGCATAGTAAAGTTCTTATACACTGACAAATGAACAATGCACAACATACAACATACAATAATGAATGAATGCAGCACAAAATGAATACACATACTGTAAATAAACATATGAGAAATGAAGAGAACACTTGAATGAATATATTAGAAATACAGATTACTATCTGTGCTTGATGTACAGTACATGTTGACATTTCACACACTTTTTGTTTACACTATTCAGTATGTGGGGTGTGCTTTTCTACTAAATTGGTCATGCATGCTCTACAACTTTGTATTTGACTTTTTTTCCATATCGTGTTTCATTTTCCAGATAGGATCAATAACTTATAAATTTTACTGTTAGGAGCACTGCAAGTAGTCTCCTTGTGGTGCATAATCACTTTACTATACCTATACATCACAGTTGTGACTGTAGCTATCTGAATTTGTTAGTTATGTGGATATATAAGGACTTTACTATGCACTCTGTATATTCATGTTTTATGTAATAATTTTTGTAATTTAAAGCATTAAAATGGAAAGTGTTTATTATAAATTAATTCATATGATTTGAGTTTTAATTCATAAAATCTAATTGTGTTTTCTCTCTTTTTCTTTCTTAAGATGGAAATGGAAGGTACTACATGGGCATTCCGTTTGCAATTAGTTGGTATTGCTCTGGTGCATTTTGTTATATCATATTTAACTGAGGTATTTAAACACTTTTAATTTTATAAAATAGTTTTTATTAGTACTGGTAATATTTTAAATCTTACAACTGAAAAAGTTTTGAATTGAAATATTTAGAAAAGTGTGAAAATCTAAAAATAGCATATTATTAAGACTAAATCTATTTTTTATAATATAATTTTTTAAACAATAAATAACATTTTAATATAAATAAAAATTTATATTACAAAATATATTAAATATAATATACTTTCAATTAGGCATTTCTTGTTGGATATATAATATTTCACAAGTGTAAAGACAGGCTATCAAAAGGGAAGAGGAATGCTACCGAATTTCAGCTGATTGAAGAAGAAACTCGGGGTGCTCCGACCTGGTTACCTTTAAATGAGTCTCCAACAGAATCTTCTTTTTTAACTCTTCCACATTCAAACACAGTCACTAGTGCCTTCAGTGGAAGCAGTTTGGAATATAGTGGAGGGGATAAAATAACTCCAGAAAATGAAAACAGAGATGAATACATAATAAATATAAATGAGAAGTTTTCAAATTCATGTAGAGATCCACAGGATTCTTGTCTGAATGTAACATCTATAGAACATGACGTACTGTCTCGAGACATTGCAAATGAAAGTACTTCTCTCTAGGCCTATAAGGAATTCCTGTTCTGTACTCTTTACATGCAGTCAGGTATAAATGTAAATTTATAAAATCTTAGGGAGCAAGTAAGATATAGTATTTATATTGTAACACTGGACATTTTCAGATATAATTTCTTTTAATAATATACCACGCAATCGAAATTCTTAATTCTTGTAAAATCCAATTGACATTGTTTACTTTTAACAACTATTGAAATGTTAAAATGTTTTTCAAAGTGGCAAAAATCTCAGGAACAATTACATTAAGACTGTTGTTTAGGACAACATTGTGTAGCATATCATAAAACTTTCATATATTTTAATTGTTAATGAAAAATTCAAATGAGTATTTTTACATAAGTTATTCTTTGTTTTCGATACATTATTTCTCCTATACTTTCTATATAATTATTTAACAAAAAAATTATTTATATATTGCTGCAGCATTTTGCTGTATATTTTAATATTTACTGTATAAAGTGATACAGTTACGTTTAATTGAAATTTGTCTAGTCAGGTTTTGTTAATAATGTTCACACACAGTTTCTTAAATTTGAAACTGCAACTTTCTAGAGCGTTCGTGAGACTCATAAGTGAAATGATACTTTATATCATTTGATTTTTTCAATGATAATCACATTCTCAAATAATTTCTTTCAATATTCTGTTAATTATTGTACGAGTCACAAAAACGCCATCATAGATTCTAGAGGTTGCAGATTTAAAAATTGAGAAGCATTGTGATACAAAATTAATGACACAATTTTTAAAAAATTATGAATTTATAATTTTTATTAAAAGCTGTCGTCCCACTAATTTTTAATTACCAAATTGATTGCTTTCTTCTGCTAAATAATTGATATCGTATAATTTTTTTATACACAATATAGATATATAATAATAATAATAATCTATGATTTCTATTTTCTAACTTCGAATATTCTTAAAGGAACTGCAGTGTGCCAATTATGTTAAATGGAAATAAAAATCATTAGACTATTTTCATACATTATGTAATCGAGAAATTTTGTGTAAATGACCAAAATCTATCAAAGAAGTCAATAAATATTGAATTTGAAGCAACTTGGACATTTTTTTATATTATATAGAAAAATTTCTCATATTAGAAATCTTTTCAAATAATTACTATACTTATAACAATACTATACTTATATATTTATAACAATCCTAACCCAATTATTATGTATAATTGGGTTATAAATATAAACAAAATATTATATATAATATTTAGACAATTATCATTTCATAAAAATGTTAGAAATAAATAAATCTCAAAATGCTTGAACCTCATTGCTGGTCAGACAGCCACTAGTAGCTGAGTGGATAAAACCACCAAACACTAGTAGTTGGTTGCAGGTTTGCTCCTCACCAACAAGCTGGCTATGGAAAATCTTCTGGATTTTCTTCATATGTCAAGCATTTAAATACAGGCCAGTTCCTGTAGTCAGTCCTCCTGGGAGGCATTCTCAATTGGCAGATTGATCATTTGAGTATTTAATTGCCATATCCTATCTGTCCAATCCATCAGTGGCCACCACATTTAAAAAATTCACATAATTTGAATTTATCTAAATTTTTAATAGTAGTAAGTAATGGAAACACTATGATCTTGAACACAGCTATGGGCTTTATTGAGCCTAAAAAGCACTTTTTCAATTTAGCATTTTTTCAGCTGTTGAAGATTGGGTTATTTCTTTCATTGCAACAAAATGTTGCAATGAAAGAAAGAAATTTCATTACTTGCAATAAAATGTCTGTTGTTCTTACTTTTTTCAGAAACCTTTGTCAGAATAAAGCCATCCGTATTATATTTGTTATTGGACAGGCTTGCTGTGTCTTCATCATGATTGTCATCATCATTGATGACATTCAAAGAGGAGTCATCTTTATAGGGGATATCTGTTTTACTCATTGACTCTTCACTTGATTCACACATTTTAGAACAAGCCTAATGTTGAGCATTCCTATACTTTATTTTCATTTGCACATTAAACTTAGCTTTCTTTGTAGCACAAGCTGGAGCTTCCTTGAGTTGTCTCTTCACCAGAATGTCTGTGAAAACTCTGGGCAATCCCTAAAAAACCAAAAGCATAGGGCCTATAGATCTGCAAAAGACCTTTACAAATGTTACATGGGGTTGTATTATAGCAAATTATAGTATGCTATATCCATAAACCTTCTTTCTGTTTCTTTAACCTTTTCTGGGTTCAGCTTTTGGCAAGGGACAAATCTCTTCAGAAATTACTGTGGTTCCTAATGTCCTGATGTGCTAGATCAGTGGTTCCCAAAGTGGATGGTGCGTAAATCTAGGGAGGCAAAAAGAAGTAAGTGGCAGCAGGAGGCACTGGAGGCAGGGTTCTGAATGGTGATCATAGGGAAGGTTGGGGAAAAGAAAAGGTTGTTTCACTGATAACCTTGACCTTTTCTCTTTTAAAATGAGTAAGAAGAAACATTGCAGGTAATGGTTTCCAAATGTGGAGAACAATATATGGTAAGGACATAAAGTGTGAATTTCATCGAAAAGTTTTTCTAAGAATATTTCCAAGTCTTTCTCAACAAGGGAAAATGGTTTTTTTCTTTAAAACTCTTTCCAGCTTATGGGCACTAAGAGGGCCTCTTTTTGCAAGCCCATTATGGGTTTGGCCAGACCCACAATGGAGTGGCAGGGTGTTGAGGGGCTGGGGCCAACATATCTGACTGGACCAGACCAAATCCCAAAAAATTCCTGGGGATTTTTCAACCCGTACGGATTTGATCCCACTCCCCCAGAGCAGTAGGCTGCCACCTTGACCACTCAGCCATCCAGCCGTAAAGGGAAAATGGGTTAGGGGCATTGAGTATAACTATATGGAACCAAGAGGTGGTGGCTCAAAAAAGTTTGGAAATCACTGTGCTAGACCAATGTCTTGTTGAAAGACTCCATTTGTGCTGCAGCAGAGGCACAAAGGTGGGGTTAACTGAACTGATCCACATATGCAACTACCCTGGCCCACTCAACCCCACTAGAACATTCCTCAAAGAAAATGTATCCCATAAACATCGGTATGTTTAATGCATATTCAATTATCGGAGCTTAAACACAAACTTCAGAAGTAAATTTAGCACTAACAGCATCAACATTTTATCAAGAGCTAACGTTTAAAAATAGCATGCCAAGAAATGGTAAAGTTTTACTTATCTGCAGATTCTCTTCATTTTCCAACAGCATCCACTCAGCATGTCTAAGAGTAGCCATATTACATATATGACTTGGCCTTATAGAGAGAATCAATGACACTGAACAGATGAGGAAAATTTAAATTAAATATGAAAACTAATAGAAAGCAACAGACCAGTTAAAATATAGTATATATGTTACAGTCAAAACCCGTTTTTAGTTAGAACGCGTTTTAACTAGTTGAAACTAGTTTATACTGAATGTCTTTGTTAAAACCCGTTTTGTCTAGTTAAAACTAGTTTTAACTCAAATTCATTTTTGACTAGCAGTAAATTCAAGTTTTAACTAGACAAAACGGAATTCATTTT